CCTGCTGCAGCCGCCTGTCGCAAGCAGCAACAAGAGGCTCCTGCTGCGGCCGTCGGCCGCGGCGCAGCAAATCGAAGATGTGCTCAGAATGGCTCTGGTCCACTGCAGCTTTCTGCTCGCAAACCCTAAACCCTAAACCCTAAACCCTAAACCCTAACCCCGCCCTGGGTGGCTGCCGAGCACGAACAGCCGGCGACGATCGCCACTAAACCCTAAACCCTAGCGATCCCGAGGCAGAGCCACGGAAACCACGGAAGCACGCCGAAAAGGGTTTAGGGTTTAGGGTTTAGGGTTTAAAATTACCTTCGCCTTGAATGCCGGGTCCCTGCAGTGCTTCGCAATGGCTTGGAGGAACACCATCGGCGTCAGCTCAACCTCCTGCTGCTGCCGTTGCTGCTGCTGCTGCTGCTGCTGCTGCTGCTTGCGTTCGTGCTGCAGCAGCAGCTGCTCCTCCTGCAGCACTGACTTTTCTGCTTCTGTGTTGCTCTCCTGCAGCTGCGCAGTGACGGCTGTGCTGGCGCCCTCAGGAGACAACTCTGCAGCCGCAAACCCTAAACCCTAAACCCTAAACCCTAAACCCTAAAGTCTCCCAAGCAGCCAAAGACAGATATGGGGGGAAACAAAAGGAGACAGACCTTCACGGCAGACGTGCTGGACTCCGAGCTAGGGTTTAGGGCTACGGTTTGCGCTTCAAAATTTAGGGTTTAGGGTTTGGGGTTTAGGGTTTAGGGTTTACCCCTCTCGGTTGTGGCCTGCAGGATCTCTTTAAACTTCTGTTCTTTTCTTCTTTGGATCTTATGAAGAATTTGCAAAACCCTTTCCTGCGTCAACTCTTCCGGCACCTCCAGCCCTGCATCCAAACCCTAAACCCTAAACCCTAAACCCTAAACCTCAAGCACAGCCCTAAGGGCAGTCAAAAACTCATGCACAAGGAGGCGAGGACTTCGCGTAAACCCTAGAGCCCGAGGGTTTGGGCTTTTGAAAAGTAAAGCTAGGGTTTAAGACTTGAGTAAACCAAGGGTTTAGGGTTTAGGGTTTAGGGTTTACCCGGTAACAGGGGAAGAGTGCCTTGCATTGCATCTTCGTACATCTGCCGAAGTCCAGCGACGAGCTCCTTGACTTCAGGGTTCTGCCAACCTCAAACCCTAAACCCTAAACCCTAAACCCTAAACCCTCGCTCCCGAGCGTTACTTAGGGCAAGCAAACACTAGAGGTTTCCCCGCTAAACCCTTCACCTCAGGGTTTAGGGTTTGGGGTTTAGGGTTTGGACTATACTTGCGGGGCCGCCGCCGGTGTCCACCCCAGATCTGCCGCGAGGGAGCGCGCACCCTAGGGTTTAGGGTTTAGGGTTTAGGGTTTAGGGTTTACTGTTTTGGCGAGTCTGGAGCAGCGGGAGTCGAAGACTCGAGGAGACAAATTGTCTCTTTTTAAAACAGCAGCTTCTGCTGCTTCGAGTCTGGCCAGCAGCATCCGCTGCAGACTCATAGCCTCCATCTGCGCGCAAACGAGGGTTTAGGGTTTAGGGTTTAGGGATTAGGGTTTCAGCTCCTGCCGCTGCGCTGGGGCGCAGCGGGCGCAAACATCATGTGCTGCTCCGTCAGGGTTTTGCTCCGAGGGTTTAGGGTTTGGCCTCCAGAAGCCCACAACGACGCGCTATGCTTAGCCCTTAGGGTTTAGGGTTTAGGGTTTACGGTTTAGGGTTTAGGGTTACCGTCTCCCGAAGGGCTTGAGGGCCCCCGCGGCCCCTGCCTTTGGCGTTGAGGCTCGAGAGCAAGTTAGACGTCATCCTGCAGACAAACCCTAAACCCTAAACCCTAAACCCTAAACCCTAGACCCCGCCTTTGTTGGCGGCTTATGCATGGGTTGGCCGAGAGGGTTTTAAGACTTTGCGAGGCGCAGGCCTGAGAAGCCCCCGAAGCCGCGCTAGGGTTTAGGGTTTAGGGTTTGGGGTTTAGGGTTTGGGCATTAGGGTTTGGGGTTTAGGGTTTAGGGTTTACTGTGCTGCCTCAGCGAAGACTTTGTGGAACTCCTGAGTGATGGTTCGCAGGAGCTGAATGAGCTGCTCGTCAGAGCAGTCCGTGCTGCTGCTGCTGCTGCTGCTGCTGCTGGTGAAGTAGAAAACAGCAGCAGCAGCAGCAAAAGCACAAGCAACC